CGGCCTAGCCCTTACTCATTCACATACCAAAAATGAGCAAAATCCGTTGAACCTGAACTGACTAATGGCAATTCCCATTTTTGCCAAAAAATTGCCGTGGCTTGAAATTACGTCGACTGGCGTGCTCCAAAATAAGCAGGAACAACTATACCCAATTTCAAACATGTGGGTCAAACGGTTCCTGAGTTATCGTTGACCGTAGCCAAATGTTGACGGACGGACGTACGACGGACGATGACCCATGGCAATAGCTCAGCTTGACGATGTCAAGGTGAGCTAAAAACGGCTGGGTAATCATTCACATGTGCACCTTGCACGACCCTGAGCAGTGCTACTGATTTACTGACAGCTGTTAAGACCGTCGTCGACACTTGAAATACACTTCAAATTACTTATTATATTTCCGAAATCGTTAATCACTGTGTAAGTTTGTGTAAGTTGCATCCCGATGTAGGTGGATTGGGGAAACGCAAGATATCCTGTGGCAGTTGTTATCAAAAATCGAGGTCGAGCGATTACTATAAGAGTATCAGGATTGAACAGTAATGTATTGTACAGGTGGTGATTTGTGTCAAGGCAGCTATCGCCACGCCCAGAATGTCAAGTTACAGAAAACATAATTGCAAGACGTCTTGTAAAACATTACATAAGACATCTATTCACTGCATGCCATCTGTTAGGCTGACATAGAATGAGTCTTCTATAATACATTTCACTTAATTTATAGCATATATGAGTAATAAGTAATAGAAAGCTTACCTTCACCAAACCCAACAATGAGAACTCCATGATCTAGGGAAGTGGGATTGCAAAAGATTCGCCATGGGTGAGAAATGCCTCCGAAATACCACTTCAAATGGAAATAACAGTATATTAATAAAATATGTGACACTGTATCAATCTAAATCAACCTGCTAGACATGATTACATGTGAGGTTTCGGTGTTAAACTGTATGTTTCATTTAGCTGAGCTTGGTTCTGCTTATCACTGCAGTGCTGATGGTGCGAAGTGGCAGGCGCTGATTGGTAAGTGCGGGCTTCGGTCATGTGTGATCAGGCGAGAGACATAGCACAATGAGGGCCAGTACTCCTTGGTTCAGGATGGGAGATGGACCACATGAGGCTGTGACTAATTGGTTTATTGTCATGCTACGTGAAGTTAGCTTACATTCTTTCAGCGGGACCGAGTGCAAACATTCTCAACGAAAACCTATAGTCTAAACTAAATTCCACGTTTTAGTAGCTCTTGTGATATTGTTCACACACTGACACGTGCAGTGTGACTTTGATTTGGCACACCAGTGCAAAGACTACTATGTTAATTGCCAGATTATATTGTATTCTTGGATGTGTCAGTTAAAGAATCGGTGTGCACTGACAGTGTTGAATACATGAATCAACTGAGCAAAGCCAAACTTCAACTGGCCACGAAAATGGAATGCTTAAAACAACATTAAGATGAACCATAAAAAATTAGTTGAATTCGGATCAAATTGAGGAAAATGTTCGTGCCCATCTGATGGAAATATATGCTCAGCTGATTGATTTGATGTTTGAATTGTATGGTCAGAGAAGAGTAGGGTCATTCATAAGACAGGAAACCATAGTAACAATGCATCAGATGAATGCAATGATTAGTTGCCTATTGGAGATGTGTCTCTTTAAGCTTCTGGAGGATAAGAAATTTAAAAAAGAAAGGTAAGAATTTGAAAGAAATAAACAGAACAATGCATGCAGATCAAGGAGGAATACTTGAAATCCGAGAACGCAAAGTGAGAAATGGTGAGAGATAGAGAGAATAGTTTTAAGTGTATGAAAAAAAGACATGGTGAGATCATGTGCCAAAATTTCTGAATGAACCAGGTGATCAATTTATTTCAATACAGTAGCTAACCTAAAAGCATTATTGTATGTCTGAGGTGATTCAAAAAGCACTGTTTCTACCATGTTTGTCGAGTAAAGCTGGAAGTTACACCTCATACATAATGTCACTGCAGCTCACAAATTACACGCAATAAAGGGCGACACTCTTGATGGAATTGGGATTCATGCCAGTTCAGTAGGCCTATAAGCAGCGGTTTGCCATATGCAATAAGTGATCACACAAGTCATGCAACCAATTTGTCAATAGCATGGAAAAATTAGTTGGTATTGTTATGACGTCTAGAAAATCCGAGTGAACGCCAAATGAGGTTAGACATTTAGTGATTACAGGTCATAAACCCTACCGTTTGTTGGACTGGAAATTGTAAGGATGGTCGTTGCCTGTGCACAAGTATGAAATCAGCACTAAGCAATAGGCAGGTTAGCTTTAAGAACGGTGATGGTTTCTGAATGCCAAGTTCAGATGTATATAGCAATGCATGTATGCCATTTTGACAAGTTTGTCATATTACTTGATTCAAGTTGATACTTCATCTTTTTAGCATGTCAAAATGGGCGTTTGCTCATTGTTCGGTTTGACTTGTACACTATATTGTATTACAGTATATTAGGTTTTGGTCGGTTGAAAAAGCAAGGTAAACAAAAAAGACAATTAAACGTTAAAGGGGGAAGACGTTGGGTTTCAGTGTGTTATTCGATGTTTACTTTAGCTGAGCTTTGCTCTCCTTGTCACTGCGGTACTACTAGTGCCAAGTAGCAGCAAGCAGCATTGTGGCTTCGGGTGAGTGAGAGATATAGAATGACGATTCCACATGCAGCACTCTATGGTTTGGGACTTGTAAGGGAACAGACGTGGCTGTAAGAAACTCTGGTTATTAATAAAGGAGTTGTGAGTGACAAGAACCTTAGTCATGATACGTGACGGTGAAGTAAGAGCATACATATATATAAACAGCACCATCTCTTAAACTTTTATGGTTTAACTTTTACACAAATTAATGTGCCAAAACAGTTTTTATGATGATTTTAGTGAAATAAAAGTGATATAAATTTACCTGCATAGCATTTGCATTGATGCCAATTGAGATAGGACCATTCTTCACCAACCATGCAGCCATATCTGCAATTAATCATACATGAAAAAAAACAGTGGGATCAGTAATAATAACGCATACACATTTTAGTGTTGTGTAACACAGTGACCTGAATATCGTTCATCATATAGTGGTACGCGTGTGCCGGCACCCCGCACTACAGTTCCCGACATTACAGTTGGTGAGGAAAATGGAAAGCAGCAACAGTAACACCACGGTATGACAATATAATTTATGACTTCGTGACAACTATGTATGTAATATCATAACACCCAGCCACAGTGGTGACCATGCATATATACCTTACTTTGTACAAATAAATCACAAACAGACATTTGATTACAGTAATAACTCATATGATCAACATCACCTGTCAGTTTGTTAATGAAATACGTACCTGATTCATCCTTCGAGATGGTTACGGAGCCATTAATGTAGACTTCTACCTCACGCTTAGAGAATGAACATTTCTCATCTCTGCCATCATATGGGTAATCTTTCTCACTCTCCAGCCCACCTGAGCAAAACACACGAACAACGATAATTATTATAATGGCTAAAATATGTAATCATATCGAGAAAGTATTTTTGGTTTAAGTATAACCATCAAATGTTCTTAATTGTCTCTATGGGGATGCTGCAACCAGCACTACAACAGTTATCACAACCACAGTTGCCATAAGTAATCAAGTCAATACACAATATATGAAAACAAGCACAAACATTGTGTTTATTACAAGATACAGCTATTCTGCTCACATGTTGAATATCTGAATGAAAATTTTCTACATTAATTTATTATTTGAATTATTTATTGCCTGTTATCAATTCCTACAATCATACAGTATATTATATAGTAAACCTCATTACCAAGTCTAATTATCTCCTTGTAGGCATTACTAGGCAGTCCCCCGTTGCAGCCCTCATCCAACTTGTCACAGTCAACCAATTCTAAGGAAGTAATAGGTTCGACATACAAATTGAAAAAGTAATATTCAGTTGCACGCCACCTATCCTATCCGTTTCAATGTCTAATAATTGACACATCAAATCTCCCCAGAGGTTAAAATTTCAAAAAGCTTTCAACATGAGTTTATAGAATATCCAAATATATAAATACAGTGCATATGCAAATATATCTCATATTTTTAAAAAGATAATTACGCGTACATACACAATCTTAGTTCTCGCATATTAGGTGGTGTTTACTCTATATACCTTGTTCAGAAAGTTCATACAGTTGTCCTTTCTGGATAGCCCACTTCCCTTCAAGGTTACCAGTAACAGAGAAAGCCCAACATGATCCACACATTCCCTGTAAAGTTAAACTTGCATGGTTACAATTTATTACATTATGCACATGTAAACCTTTATTGAGCAGACTTCAAGACTCTAACTTCAACTACCTTCTGTATAGTTTTAGGAATAAACTAGGGTGTAAAACTGTAATACAGCCTGATTATATTTTAGCTATTAATTACGAGATTTGTTAAGGACAAATAAACTAATATTTTGGCTCAATAGGGTGATAAGGACAGTCAGTTGGCCTTCATGCAATGCAATAATAATCTAGGACATCACCTAATTCATATCTGAAAATTAACAAAAATTAAATAAAAATGTCTTGAATCTTCACACTGGCATTAATTCACAATTTAAAGACATATTTACATGTGCATTTCACAATTGCATTATGAACAAATGAAATAGGATTTACTGAACGATGCAAATCTTCAAAAACTCCTATTATTGAGGATTTGGGACGTTTCTAAGATGTTCATCATCGCAGAAACGTGTTAAAAATAATACTTGTAACTTTCAATAGTCCAATAGTACAAGGAGTTAGCGTACACTAATTGTTGGCAGTCCAATGCAAAAACAGGTAGCTATAGACCCGTGCTACCTGACAGGTGCTAAAATTTTCTGACCAGAGACTAATTGCTTACCTGGTTTTTCACAGGTGTGACAGCTCCATGATCTCTCCAGTCAAAGGAATCTGGCACCTCTATCTGTGGAATCTGGGCTGTATCCCTAGGATGATTTTCTAGGTCCCATACTGGTGTTAGGTAATTTTTTCTAAACTCTTCCCCTGCAACAAACACAAGGTAACTTAAAATTTTTATAGTATGATAACTAAGAATAAGTATATAATAATATATAATATATAATATAATATAATAAGTAATATTTTATGAGGTCATTATGTGCCAAATCCATTGAAAAGTTTAGAATCATTTTACAACATTTACTAAAGAAAGTTTGTTCCACAGCAAATACTGTTTCACCGACGTCCTGTCCCCACCTCTTATCCGATTACAATAATGTGCATAAAGACCGTTCAAGGACATGTTATTTAAGCGATGCACCCATTTCTATGAGGCCCTATAAAGAAGAAGCCACTGTGCTTCTAATAACAAAAATAGCTATCTAGCAACGTAAGAGAAACACATTTATTGTGCTACTATGCCTCAGTGTTTTACTTCGTCAGAAATAAAATCTACTTATATGCATGTCAAGAAATATCATAAATAACTACCTGAAATAAAACAATAAAATTGCATTATATGCATACCTGTCAAATCAGCAAATTGAGTTGCTCCATAAGTAGCAGTGCCTTGGTCAGCCTTTTGAAGCTTGAAAGCACTCTTCATGTTTTGGCGAAACACCTTGTACCTGTACATCATATCTGAAACATAGTGGCAAGACATTGCCAAACGAATTCAGGCAACACACAAAAAATGATTTGGCTATGCTAATCTGAGCTGGCCAAACAATAATTGTCTATTCTGGAGAAAGTGAAAACTATTGCCTGTGTTCCTGTTTATATTTAAAGGAAAACTTACTGAACCATAATTTCAATGTTGCTGTTCCTCTCAATATTCTAGCATCTACAATGCATGTGTATTTAACCAGTCAAACACTTAAGTGGTCATGGTATCTTATAACGTCCGCTAGTAAAAGTTGTTCGTTAACGGACGAAAGTTGTCCGGAGGCATAGCGGACAACACACACACGCATGCACGCACGCACACAAACACATTTTTGTTCATTCATATAGTATACAATGTATATATATCTTTTATTCCTTGGTAGTTTTTACAGCATCAACAAGTGAGTATGTATTCGTGAAATATTCGTGTTAATATGGCCGTATATTTATACATGTACATGTACACAGCGAAAAGAATACACGGGAGCGGCGAGCGATTTCGCTCCTGTCAGCTTTCAAAGCGCTCTGGTAACAACAATTACGAGAGCGAAAATTTTGAAAGATACGAGAAAAAATCGCTCCCGTGCCGCCGGCAGCGTTCGAAATTAGTTGCAACCCGGAGGCCCGAGCCTACTAAGTTTTTGGTCGGGCCACCATCTCTACGAAACTCCCGGTCCTCCTGACCGGCACTTTTTCCCCTCATATTACGCTGAAATACTACGGTTAGCACAACGGCAGTTTAAACAGATACGGTGTAAACGGCAGTGTTTAAAACGGGAGCGCATAATACGACCCGTTCCTCAACGTAGACGTGGTATCCAAAACATCTACCGCATAACAATAAGCTTTTATATCGCAGGGGTTATCGTGGGGAGTGAGGGCACGACCAGTGACACCTGACACGCACGTAATGTAGAATTTCGGCACAGACAATTAACAGCTATTTTTTATTTTATACGACTAGATTAAAATCTCGTCCGCTTACGACTGAAATCGTTTTTTTTTTAATATATATTGGTAGCGCAGAGATGCCAACCACTACGATTTATTCGTATTTTATACGAATTTCTATTCCTTTTGCACCACCACGACCAGTTTGTATCAAACTACAAATTTGACTGTGATCGAAATTTTTTTTATTTTTTGTCAATTTATTGTCATTATTGACCCTCAGAATGCAGGAAATTGCATCTCAGAATCAAAAAATTTTTCCGGGGGGCATGCCGGACCCCCATAGCAAACTCTGGTCACTACGTGACCCTCGAACTACTAATTTGATGGCCAGAAACTACAGATTGCTTCAAATCTGTGTTGACATCTCTGGTAGCGATTCAAACCTAGCGTCTGTCAATCGTGAGTTACGGGGAAAGCGAACCGTGGGAGCGCCCCCCCCCCTGCTCGTTGCGCCGTCTCGTAGCGCTCCCGTCCCCTGCCCGTGCATCGCCTGCACGGGGCGCATCAGGTGGTGCCACCTGGTGTGCTCGTGCGGCGGGAGACGGCGAGACGCGAAGAGGCGGCGGCGAGGGCGAGCGGTAGATGAGTGGTCGCGGTCGAGCGAGTGTCGGTCGTTAGCCGATGGAACGTGATAACGAGGACGTGAGATCGTGCGACAAGTTTCTCGCACTAGTCGCGTATCGGCGTCTCTCGTCGATGTGTGAGGAGGCGGCGGTGTATTTTTTCCACGCACAACTTCCACTTGAAAGAATACACAAATAATTAATGGAGGCAAGATGCCAATAAGCTTTATTTTCTACTCGACCTTTTTTATGATCGAGAAGGTGCAAATAGCTTTTTTATGATTGAGAAGGTGCAAATAGCTTTTTTATGATCGAGAAGGTGCAAATAGCTTTTTTATGATTGAGAAGGTGCGATAAGATATCTTTTAAAAAATCTATTTAGTCATAACATCTTATATCATGATTATTATCAAATCATGTATAATATATCAATGATTTGATGTGCATGCACATTGTTATTGCCGATTCTACTTATTTATTTTATCGAAGAAATAAAAAATCATTAAATTATTAAATCATTTGATGTTGATGATCGCGTCGAATCAATCGATCGTCAATAAAAATCAGTAAAATCAATATAATAATTATTATATCTATTAAGTGTGGCTCCTCCTTGATGTCTGATCGAGGGTTCTGTCACTCCACCCAGGAGATATGTGTAAAGAAGCTTCGCCGTCTTGGATCCTGGAAGTATAACTGACTTTGAAAATTGCACTTTGTCTGATCCCATTTCGAATGCCACTAGCTTAGAAAGGCCCTGGCTAGCTGCAAGCTCAGTTAATTTCATAGACATGTAGGTGGCGAATTTCTTTGCATCGTACTTATAATTAGGAGTTCGAGTGTAAGGACCAATCAATCTGGATCACGAATGATCTGTTGGTCCTCCAGCTTGACGACCTCATCAACATACTTGGAGAAACCGGTGTCTAATGTATTTGCGTTAAGCAGATTATATTGAACACTACGTAGAGGGACCCGTTGAGGGAGTAGATATCTTAAATCCTACATGAGATAAGATTTCAGCAGCTTTCTCCCCCAAGAGTTGAGCTTGGACCCGTTTTGCCCACAGAAGGTACTTCAGCAGGTCGATGTAACAGTTAGTGACCATCGGACCCTCTAGTTCGCAGACCATACTTTATCTGCTCGGATGAAGGACCTGGCTCGAGCGACATTAAGTCAATTGTCTCAGATGAAGGGTTCCAAGGGTTTTCCACACTGTCTAGTGTCAAAAAATCACGGACCTCGGAATCCGCTTTAACCTGTTCCCAAAAGCTCACGCTTGGTAATGGTTTAGCTTGATCCATGTCAACTTGGGCAAGATAAGCTACTTTTGGTTCAGCATTAAAATTCTCACTCTCTACTCGCAACTTTCTACTAAAATATTTAAGGTGTTTGGTATTTTAGCACTTTGTGCCGTATTAATACGTGAGATACGTTGAAAAGTCCTCGAAAAGTCCTTGAATTTTAGGAGACCAAGGCTGTACAAAGTTACAAACCCTGTTAAACGGTACAATATGAAGACTACACGACAGGATGAATTACAATATACTAAATACTGAATATACGCACAATACTCATGAAAGCCACCGGCTGTCTAATAACTCTGCTAGAACATGCACTCTTTGGATATCATAGGTAAATCAAAATATAGACTGTACCCTTTCACAAACCCTCGTCCCGAATAGAATTTAATTACGATAATCTATACCTACAACATACGATAAAATACAACATACTGATGCATATCAGATGTAAGAGTCTCAACTGAGACACTTCACATATAAACTAGTTCCTACCGAAAAAATTTCCCTCCATCTCCAATCAATGAACTGCCATCAGATCGTGCGGCTTTATAAACCTGGCTGTACTACGTACACCACATAGCCCACTCTTGTTACTCGTGTCCGCATAGTCTCGTAAAACGTATTATCCGGTATTCCTTATCACGTGATACTCTCAAGTGAATATTATTGACCAATAACACTAAATCACGACGTATGGTCAGTCCTAGGCACGCTAGCAAGGTCATTGGGTGACGCTATTACAACAAATTGTACAAATATACGAAATTTGGTCTCAACACTTCGTTTTGTTTGCGACAACCGTAGGCGAATGTAAATTTATGCGTTTCCGCGTTTCTCGTTCGACGATGAGACAGAAAGCTGTTTGTTTCTTTTGTAGTTTACCGACTCCTCTTTTTCTTGACCAGTCATCGGTTGTGTTTCTTTCGTCGTTATCGAGTCGTATTTTTTTGTTGGTTCACTCGATCTGCTCGTTGAGCACATGTTATCTACCTTAATATTCAATTGTAATTGTAGTGTGGAATATCGGTTCGTAGACAGTAGAACGTAACAGTTGTATAAACGGTGACAACTTATAGGTTTATTATAAACACGAATAGACCTTCTGCGCGTGACGTCACAGAAAAGTTATGCCGCCATCTTGGCCGTCAAGCTAGCATATGGCCGTAGTAGGTTTTCAAATGAAAAATAACAAAAATTTCTAGCAACTAGTTTGCATGTGATGCAGTCTCTTTAATTAGCAATTGTGAATTTCTAGGAAAGCTATGATAATTGTTATCGTGCTTGTGAAAAAAACTCTGCTTATTTTTGTATTCGACGTGGCACACCATGGCCATATCTACACTATAGTATTGACGTAGAATATGAATTGAAGTACAAGGGTCGAAATAAGCAATGGTCCAATGGTCTGGGGCCATCAAATAATCAGGAGGACCATCAGATTTTCAATGAGTCAATGGACGGACGGACCATTGAATATTTTGGTCCCATTTTACGGTAATTTTCTTTGAAGTTTCCACGTTTACTGTATCGTTTGATACATTCATTGTAGGTGAATAATTAAACCATTTTATCACCATGTAAAATCTCTTTCTTACGCTTGCCGCATTACTTTTAGAGAACAATTTGAAATTTAGGAGGGCCATCTAAAATTTAGGAGAACCATCTAAATTTCAAACTAGATGGTCCTGTGGGCCATCTCTTTTTCCCCCTTATTTCTACCCCAGAAGTATGTTGTTCACACTAAAACTCATTAACGAGAGCTCACCATCTTTACTTTCGTAGGTCTTGTTAAAATCAGTCATGAACTTTTTAAACACGCCCATATGAATGTAGTCATGGTCGTCACCACCAAACTGTTAGAAAATTTGATAAACCAGGGGTTATTAAATCATATGGATTACAACATGTATATTTAGCAAGAATTGGAAATAACATTAAAACTGTTAGCAAATGCTAGCAAAATTCTAGCCTTTGCATATGCATAGCCTATGCCTATACATAGCCTGCTGTCCATGCATAGTCTATTCCATGTATAGCCTGCTGCTTATGCATAGATCGACTGGCGTGCTCCAAAATAGGGAGTTCAAATCTCTCCCATAGGAGTAACAACTGTATTCAATTTGAAACATGTGGGTCAAACGGTTCTTGAGTTATCGTTGACCGTAGGCAGACACTGAAATGCATAGTGAAATTGCCAAAATCTACCTAATTTGCATAATTTTAAAAAATATATCAAAACCTGTGTGATATGTTTTGGGGCCAGTCCTTATTCATTCACATACTAGAAATGAGCAAAAGCCGTTGAACCTGAACTGACTTATAAATGGCCATTTCCATTTTTTCCCAAAAAGTGGACGTGGCTCGAATGTAAGTCAACTGGCGTGCTCCAAAATAGGACGAGCACGTGTAAAGTTTTGTCAAACCTCTCAAACCATAGAGTAAGCAATTGCATGCCCATTTGATAAACATGGTGGGTCCAAACGGTTTCTGTGAGTTATCGTTGACCGTAGGCAGACACACTGAAAAAAGCATAGGAAAATTGCCAAAATCTACCTAATTTGCATAAGTAAAAAAATTAAAAAAACCTGTGTGATATGTTGGGGCCAGCCCTCATTCCATTACATACCAGAAATGAGGCAAAACCACATTAAACCTGAACTGACTTTTTCTGACCATTTCCGATTTGCCAAATAAGTGGCACGTGGCTCCGAATGTAAAGTGCAACTGGCGTGCTTTCCAAAATTAGGACGTTCAAACCTCCTCCCAATAGGAAGGTAACAACTATATGCAATTTGAACACGTGGGGTCAAACAGTTCTTGAGTTATCCGTTTGTAAATCGTAGCCCAATTGTTGAACGGACGGACATACGACGGACGACACACCATGGCAATAGCTCATCTTGACGATGTCAAGGCGAGGTAAAAACTGGGACTGTCTTATACACAGGATATATGAAAAATTGCAAACTTTCTCAGCCAAAAGCTGGGGTCGACTTATACGTGGAACTGCCTTGTACCCAAGTATACATAATACTATTGTTTTCATTTAAGAAGAACATATAATATAATTTGCAAAATAAGAAATGCCCTATAAAAATATGGTGGACTATGTCATTTAATTGGCATTTCATGCATACGATGAAGTGTGTAGGTTCTACTAGGGGCGATCATTACACCAAATTCATTCCCACTTGAAATTGTACCATTTCATTCTTAAAAATATTTATTACAAAAAATCCCAAATACCTAAAAGAAGTTCTAAAAATATATACATATACACTAGTTACTAATCTTTTCTACCACGTATGCAAAGCAAGTTATTTTGACCTTTACTTCTATATGATAAAACACACCTTGATTACATTCCTTCTCAAACGCTCTGGTAATTCCTGCTGCTCCTTTTGGTGCTCATGCCCCGTAATCGATTCCACATTAGTTTTTGTTTTCAGGAGTGGTTGCTTTCAATGGCTCACACGAGATTGGTCTCAGAACTCGTGTATCATGTAACCATGGTCGATCCCACACTTGTACGTGGCACAGTTCAGTCTGTAAACAGAATTGCCGAGTTACTTCACGTGTCCTGCGAATGCACTCATCATCTTATTCCCCACAGACTCAAAAAATTATGTATCTGAGCGAGTGCAAGGATCAAGATATGGTTTTAAGTATAGTGGAAAACGAACCTGCTTAAGCCCTGGTTACAACGGATCGTACGAAATTTTGTCGTGTGGACCCATAAAATATTTGTCGTGCCAGATCTTGCAAAATGCCAAAAAAAATAATGATTGGTATTTCGAGTGGTCAACAAGGCTACGACCCATCCACGAGTGGTTTGGCGATCGGGACGCGACAGAAAAAAAAAGAGCTTGTTGTGTTATGTCGTGGGTGTGTCCGTGCGTCAGTCGTGAGTTGTCGGGCAATTTGTCGGGGGCCTGGTTTTTCAACGTGAACAGGTCGTGGTCACTCGTGATGCCAATTATACTACACGTCGTGCGCACTGTTCGCCACAACAGTCGTGGGTCATTCGTGGGTCACTCGATCGTGAGTCACTCGTGGTCAGCGTCGTGGATCACGTCTGCGCTGCCGTCTACCCCGACTATATAACGAGGCCCGGTCTCGTTCCTGCCCATTTGCTGCAAAAGATTTTTCAGTGAATATATCAAAGTTCTGGCCCCGAAAAATTTTTTTTTTACACTTGCACTGTCATTTAATCAAGAGTCGTAGTATAGTATTAGTATCCAGGATGCGCTCTCAAAAAGAAACCAACAAGAAGAAAGGGTGGTAAACAGTGGTTGATTGAGGGGGGGGGGGGGTGCACTCAGACAGAGGACTGACGACCTCGTGACTGCCGTGACACCTGCTGATGGTCCGTTACGCTGAAACTGGAGGCTCGAGGCGGACGGTGAGGAGGAGCTTGCAGGCACTGGCGTTGGCCGCTTGTCCCATAAGACGCGCAGAAAGGCTGCGGGTGGCAAGGCCACGCGAGCAAACGAGCAAGAACTTTCCGACCGACTACGCGGCACTGTTACACGCATCGCCGCCCAGCGACTAATCCCGAGAGCCAGGAGTTAAAGTCGTGGCTCTGGTTGGAATGATTACGAGATTATCACAACGCAGGCCCACCAAAGACTTTCCAAAATAAGTCAAAAGAAAGACCAGATGTTCGTGGAATTTGGGCGAACAATTGGTTCTGAGTGGTGAGTGATAATTCATATCTTTCATTTGTACACTCACTTAACCCTGTAATATTTACCATTTTATTGATAAAATGTGGTATATTCCAGTGTATAAAATGTGTTTTTCTATGTTTTTTTGTCGCAGGAACACGGATAGACAGGTGGTACAAAAGTATGCGGTCCTCCTACGGGCGGATCAAGAAAGAGTTTAAGAAGAGCGGCAATGCCCCTCCAGTCTTAAAGTACAGGGCGGCTTGGATCTGGAAACACCTGGCCTTCCTGAAGCCCCATGTGAGGAACAAGACCCCCGGTGTCATCATGAGCAAGGTTAGCATTTGCAAAGATGAATTGGATATTGTGTGTGGATAGAAGACAACGAGGTTATCTCCAATTTGAGAGTGTTATCGTGGTGCATTATACACTCAATATTTCTATTATTATCCATTAGCAGGGTTCTCCCCAGGATGAAATTCAAACAGGGCGGGAGGGAGGGGGGGGATCCGGGGGCGTGTTTTTTTTAGACCGTAACCACTAATATAATGCGTAAATCTTCACCACACCTAGACGGTATTTGGGGTTCTTGTATATATAAGATAGAGCCGAGTCAGTGTACAGTTTAGTGTGGGTGTTGGACAAGGTTGACTGTTTGACTTGTGTATTTGTCTGCAGTGCATGCGTGGCCGCACGGTAAAAATACACGTGCCGGGTGTCCTGGTCCGAATGGAATGTCTTGACCGGATACGATTCCCTCGCGTGCAAACTTTTTTATTGTGGGGAATTTAATCGGGGCGGATGGTAATTTAAACGTGGGCGCAACGATTGAAACAGGGGGAAGTTTTCCCAAACGGGCGGCGCGCAGCGCGTTTGCGCAACGTAGGGCAGAACGCCTGCATTAGGATAGTCTGTTGCCTCACCATTTGCTCTCGTAATTTTTCAGTGGGAACAGATTCCGTTTAAATGAAACAAAATAAAACAATTTCTTTTCTGTGCATTTCTTATTTATTCCATGCTCCATTCTATACATTTGTCCTTGCTTTTGCTTCAGGGTGTGTCGACTGTACAAGAGGGAGAAGATGACGAGAAGAAGCAGTAGAAGTCCTGATGACGACAACGACGCGGCTCCACAGTGTCCTCAGCAGTTTCCTCCTCTGCCCCGTCGCAGTGGTCGCGCAGAGACAGCACTGCTGTCCCGCTATGGGCTCAGGGCAAGGGCAAGCACCTGGTTCCATGACGAAGGCCCGGGCCAGCAGCAGCAAGACGGCAAGTCCAAGCTGATGCCATGCTGTCAGAGTATCTCAAGAAACAGCCCCAGACGCCGCCAACATGCACAAAGAGGTAGTGTGAACATTTTTTCTATGAATACTATTAATGGTATTGTGTTGTATTATACAGTCAATATCTTCAATATTAATTTAAACAATTTATGCTAATTTTTTTAATTATTTTACATGCACAGAGTGGTAGTGTAAACATTTTTCTATGGACACTAATAATGTTATTGTGTTGTATTTAATATTCAAATTTCCGCACTCTGTTTTACAGGTGCAAAGACTCCCTGGCTGCCCTGACACAGCAGGGATCATGCAGCCATCTGGGGGGAGTCCCTCGCCATCAGTGCCCAGAGACTACCGTTCAACCTTTTCCAGCGATTCCAGATGACTCGCTATCACTCGTGAACCGCTATTTGGGGATGCAGAAAAGGGGGAGAATCCCGACCAGGACCAGCCACAGCCACAGTCGTTCATGCAGCAACTGCAGATGGCATGTCCTCAGCTCAACTACAAGCAGCAGTACCCGCAGCACGACACTGCCTGGCAGCCCAACCCCCATATGACCTCAGCCCCTCCGCTGCTGCAGTCCCCCCGTGTAAGCTATATTTTTAAATTACTACCATATTTTTTTTAATCACTACCATACTTAAGGATTTATTTAATATAAGTTTACTGCCTCATAATTATAAGCGCAGATTACAACATACATAAATATATATAATTATTCAATTATTGTTATCCAGAACTAATGAACCATGTATTTTTGTTTCAGGTGAGCCTGGGCGCCCCGCGTTTCACTACACCTCGCACAAGACCCGAACATGCCCCATTGTATTCGAGATCGATGCCGCGAAACCAGGCAGCACATCAGCAGCAGCAGCACAGCACTCCAACCTCAGTCGCCAGTGTGGGCTCCAACCCCGGCAGAGCGGCCACAGGAGACTCCTCGCTCAACATCAGCTCCCTACTTAACAACATGGAGCGCCTCCCCCATACTCCGCCGACTAACCCGCTGGATAACCGAAAGCGACATAGATAGTAGACAAAATCTACAGTGCAATACACAGACAGTAGTTTTTACTTCCGCGGAACTCTCAGTGTATTACTATTTTTGCATTTGTTTTTTATTATGTTTGATATGTTTGAATGATTGTTTGATGTGTGGATTTGATCCTGATTGTTTTATCATGTTTGATATTTATTATGTTTGAATATGTTATAATGTGTGAATATAATAATTTGTTGTTTAATTATGTTTGATATTTTTTTATATTGATCGTTTGATGTGTGTGAGTCTTGATGTTATATGTTTGATATTTATTATGGTTTGATATGTTATAATGTGTTTAGTTTATCGTGTGAATATATATTTTCTTTTTTGTTTTTTTTTTCTTATCACTTGTTTGTTATTTCAGTTTCTCTTTTGTGTGACAAGTTTTATATGCCATCATAGTTTATAGGAATCATTATCAATAGCATTGTGTGAGAATGAATTCTCATAAAGAAAAGACACATGCGTTTTTTTCAAATAAATTCAACATTTTATTAAATACACTGTTATATTCTAGTATTCAAATATGTTAAGCTCCAGGTTTGTACAAGTTATAACAAAGAGCACCAGTTCACAATGTGTTCAGATAATAGCATCCTGCCATGGAGCCTTCCTTGTTCACTATTCTATAAGTCTGTTTTTCCAGATAACGCGGATTTGTTTCCCATTCTTTGGTGACTTGGGCCCGGTCACCGCTGGTTGACCTCGTCCATGGCGTTTGCTGCCAAGGCTCGTCCGCCGGAATGACATTTAACAGTGCTCCATCCCCCTGCGTCAAGGTCGGTAAGCCGTGAGGCGGGATAGCGCGATGCACGCATCAGGTTATGTAGTTACTAGGCATCCAGACGGTAGATCTCTGTGTCACGTCTGGGGTCATGTGGTGGTCGTGAAAGGAGGACGCGCCAGCGGTGGAGCAGGATTCCCAAAGGCATCTCCACGACGCGGCGGGCCCTCGAGGTTCGGTAGTTAAATATGCGCTCGTCATGGTTCGAAGCACCCTTCCCCCGTACGGCTTCATCATCCAGGGGGCGCAGCGGGAACGTGTCTGTCCCCCTACCAGGCAAAGTATGGTATGTTGTGGTCTATCACCAGGAAAGGGTTCAGGCTGAGGCGAGCCAACGTCGCGTTCTCTTCCAAGTCGTCTGCCTCAGCGTGCCACGTGCCTGAAAATGCCGGCGGTGCCGAATCAGACCCCTCTGCGCCAACGTCCGCCCACAGGAACTTGTAAGTTGCCCGTAACCACTCCTAGCAGCGACCTAATGGAGAAGTACCCTTGTAGATTGAGTACTCTGTGCCGGGTTCTTCAGGTGCCTTCGATGGCCCACCAGTTTTGCCATCGATGGCTCCACACAATGGTCTTATTAATCCACCGACTCGGGAAATACGGTCTGCCACTTGGCGCCTCATCCACTCCACAGTCAAATAACCCTCCCGCTGTGGTGGGGTCCTGCCATCGTCTCGCCAAACGACTCATTCAACGATGGCCTGTGGCAACCTCCGGAACAAACCCTGAGATGGTGTGTGGGGGACCCGAACGGAGGATGGCCC